CGAAACTGCGGCGGGCGGGCGGAGTCGGGCCCGGGGAGCGGCCCCCAGGCCGCCGCGGCCCGAGCGGCTGTTTCGTCACAGGGGAGGCAGTCTTAGACTTTCATGGCATTCGTTTTTGTAAGTTGTCAAAATCTCTTGAGCGTCGTTGTTTTCTGTGTGTATAAATAGTCAGGGTCCAGTAACGCTCTAAGCCACCACGAAGCTGGAGGAATAATTATCTCAAGTGCTTGGAGAAGTTGGGCTGCGCAGGAGCAAAGGTGTGTCCTCCCTGGGTCAGTACTTCCAGGACGGGTAGGCGGGTGCTCAGAAATCCCAAAGCAGTTGTTAGGTTACTGCGTGTATTTTAATAGTTAAAGGAACAAGCTTGGAAAAGGGGTGACAGTATATATGTGATCTCTCTTTCGCCTTCAGTTTGACCTTCTATCCTGGCATCGGACTCTGACCAGGATGTTTATATCCTGTTGTGACCAGGTTTCTAACAGTTAGGTAACACATTGCAGGTATTCTGCTCTGAGCTAGGTCCTAGTCGAAAACTTTAAAAATTGTGGCAGTTCTTTCCCTGCCTACAAGCGGTTCAACCTTCGCACACTAGTGGATTGACAAAGCCAGTTGTTAGGAGTGTCCTGGCTCCTTGCTCCAGTGCAACTTGGGCATCTTCCTTCCTCACGTTTTTCTAAAACGAACGATGTAATTGTTGCTGCCCACGTTTGCGTAATATATTTTCAATTTAATATATCTTCTCCGTTATATCCATTCCTTTTTTCAAAGAGAGTTGTACATGGGGACAGAGATAAGTGACTAACTGCATTTGTCCTCATACATTCCATATCAGCCAAACTTCAGTCTCCCCTTGAACTGTCTTTTTCCCTCTGCCTGGACTATCCTTGTTATTTGTGCAGAATTCTCAGATCTGGGAAGCCAGGGCAGTTGGAGTCAAGGCACAAGCAGTCAGGGATAACCTCACTTAATGCAGTCCAAGCAGCAGCCACATAAAGGTGGCCAAGCTAGTGCTGACGGGTGGGACAGGCTGGGTGCAGATAGGGTGGAATGAGTACTGGGAAGTCTTCCTATTTGACGATGAAAAAAATAATCATGTAGACTTCCATCTCGCAGTGGGGAGTTGAGAAAGGCTTTACAACACTGATGCTTAATTTATAACAGGACCACTGCCTTCCTTGAGCCAGCTGGACACAGCATTCTTACTCCATATTTCAGAATCTCCTCTTGCTGGTTGACCTACCTTTACGACCTGCGGCTACTTCTGGATTTATTCCTTTAGTCAGAGTCTTCCCGGGTTAGTTTGAATTGATATGTCATTTGTAATATATTGATTTCTAAAGCAAGAGGGTGAAAAAGCTGACTCAGGGGGCCCTTAGGCCAAATCTACTCAAAAGCAGATCTGAAACCACTCCTTTGAAAACCACTCCTTTGAAATCTGTATGTAAAGAAAGTTCCCTCTATTTTTTTCATTTTATTTAGCTACTGTTTCCAATGAGTTTTTTAGCTTATTTCTTTTTCAGTCTTCTTTCAGTGACCTAATTTTGAATAGCCATTTTTGCGTTTGTTAATCATCCCTGGTCCCTTCTTCCGAGATCCCATCCTTTTTGTAACATGTACATATGGTAAAAGTGGAGCCGTTGTCAACAATCTTCACCTTAGGAATGGGTGAGTAACGCGGTTGAGGTCTACCTCCTTAACCAAGAATTGTCATGTGATAGTCTGTTCTGCTTTTCAGTTCTCTAGTTTTAGAAGTCACGGTAAATCATCCTGAACTGTATTGAAGAGATCTAGTATTTTTGGACCCTTTATAAACAGTATGAAATAAAAGTATCACCATGACAGAACAACTTTTTATCAGAGATATTGTATACTTTTGTACAGCTGGGGAAGTGCCATTTAGAATAGTTTTTGGTAAGATGACAGGATTCAGTTCCCGAGAAAAATCAACAGTTCTTGGTTCTCCTCTTATTTGTTATATAACTTGCTGTTCATGTCAAGCCCCATAATTCATATAGCCAATGTATGTGAATACCCTCCAAATGTCCAGATCTGTGCTAGATGCTGGGGGTACTGAGATACAAAGAAAAGCGGATGAAAAGCCTCAGAAGGCTTTAGCAAATCTCCTAGACCTATTTCTATGGCTTATTTGGCTGGTGAGAATATATTGGCATTTAATTAATCTTAAGAAAGGAAGTAGAGCGAAAACATGATAGTGCTTTTATATTCTTCCAGCTTCGGGAGACCTGTGCCCTAATGACCTATAATAACTAAGGCTGCTTCACTCATGAAATCCAACAAGTGTGTGTGTGTGTATTTATAAATGTTCCTGTCTTAGACTCAATAAATAACCTTCCTTTTGCCTCTAACCCAAAGCTATTTTCATGCTGTACTTTTAACTGATTCTTTCCTTTATGTGCTTGGAGTGTTCATGACATGTATAACCTTTGTACATGAGAGAAATTGAACAAGACTAGGAGATTTTATTAGTGTTGGTTGTTAAGTTGGATTGCTTCAAAACATTCCTCCTGTAAGTACCCCTTTGAGGTTAGGCATGAAACTCTGTCTTAAAGAAACAGATGAAATGCCTTGGCCAGAGTTACGGTGGTGGCTGACATAATTTCCTTACTTCTCATTCCTGTGTTCAGACGGTTTGACAGTTTCCTTAAGACTTTTTAAACTTATGATTAATAAAGCCAGGAACTGTTGCTCGTTCTCTGTCCTCCCTCTGCTCCTGTCATTAACTACTTCTTTACACATAACTTCCCAACTTCTATCCCAACATCAAAGCAGCTGGTTTCTTAAATAAACAGGCCTTGTAGAGAGGCCGTGTTGTGTGGTGTGTCAGCTCTGAGAAGAATGTGTGTGTTTGTTTGCTGGTGCTGGCAGGGCTGAGTCCAGGCTGACAGGACTGAATGTGCCTGGTGGAGGCTTTAGGGAGCTGCCGCACTCAGCCTGTTGTTGTGGATCTTTGTAACACCCGGAAATCTGAAGGTCAGTGCCTTTAACTGCCCTGGAACTTTCTGACTGCCTCCTTTATTCCAGTACTCAGCCTCTCTTCATACTACCTTCCCCAGCACTACCACCCTCACCCTCTAGTTAATCTTCTCTTGGGTCCTGTTTCATCCATTCGTTTTGGGGTCAAGGAATAGGAATTCTGTAGGATCTCCTTCTTGGTTCTGGTTGAGCAGAATGAGCAAAATCCTCATGAGGAGTCCACTCTCATGCAGTATACTAATAGGACCTTTAACCCTAAGGGATATTAAAAGGACTTATGCATTGGGGATTTCAGTTAGAAGTATCAGCAGGTTTGATGAAGTATATTTATCTGAGGAAAGGTTAGTCTTCATCTGAGGTTTGGTTGGGGTGAGAGTAGAGAGCTAGCCAGGTAGGACAAATGGCTCAAAGAGAAAGCAGTGTAATAATTAGGTAAGTTCTCTCTGCTGACTCAAATATTTGGCTCTGTGCATAGTGATTTTTAATTAGAAATCTGAATCTCCTGTCTGTTTGTGGAAATAATTGGAAGAAGGCTTAAGAAGGTCATAATGAAGAAATTGAAGAAGGTCAATTTCTAATGACTCTTTTCTTTTTGTAATGATAATAATAATCGGCTCTCCATCCTGCTGTTTTGATTGGATCTTTCATGTCAGGTTCATAGAGACTATTAACAGCTTCTTCTGCACTTTGCTGATTTTCAGCCAGCTCTTGCCAGCAAGCGTTGGATTTTCAGTGGGTGACTGTAGGAACTGTGCTCCCTAACTTTGTCCTAGTTGGCCTTTTACCCTTGTGTGATCCTTGCACAAAGGGCAATGCTTAACACCAAGTCACAGTGGTCGGAGCAGGAGAGTAACATCTCTTCTTCTCCCTCCCTTCCTGTCCACCCCTACCCCTCAAGTTCTGTCTTTACAGAAAATGAACTGTTTGGAGACTGGAGAAATGATGCTCAGATGTTTTATATTCTTAGAAGCTAATATTAAAGGAGACAAAACCATGTAATTAAAAGTACAGCTTTTCTAGCAAAGGGCTATGTGGCAATGGCTCCAAAAATATTATGAAATGGATACTGCATTTGTAAATTTTTAAAAATTTTCGGTTCCCTCTGTATCCCTTTGTAACCTGTGTTTCTATTGCATCTTTTACTCCTCTTTTTAAAAAACTTGGTGAAAACTTGTTTTTCCCACTGTCTGTGTGGCCTCAATGGTCTGTGTGTAGGTGGGTTTGAGGAGTAATGGGGTTTGAGGAACAAGGTGGTCAGTTTCAGGCAGTTCTTGGCAGGTTTTTTATTGTCGTAATGGAGACTGCAGTCAAAGTTGGGTTAGTAATATGTGGCTTTGAGCTAGCTGAGTTGAATGAATTTTCATGACAGACCCTTCTTACCTATAGAAGTTGTTAGGTGAATGCTGGACATGTGGGGTTTTTTTTGTTTTTGTTTTTGTTTTAAGATTGAGGCAGTTTTTCCTTCTGTACTCTGAAGCCCAGTCTCGGGAAACCACAGTAAAAACAAAATCTTCCATTCAGAGGCTGTGGTGTTTTGCTGAGAAAGTTTTCTGTGAATGTAATTTATTTTTTGTTTTGCATTTCAGTATCTGGCCCTCAGTTCCTCATCTACAACATGAGAAGTTTTGGACTAGATTTAAAATGTCTAAAAAAATTCTGTGATTCATATGCAAGGAGAGGAGGCCAGAGGTTGTGATCACAAATATTTATTGGTTAATTCCGAATTTAGAAGCAAATTGCGGCTGTTCTGCTTCCCAGTTGAACTTGAACATAGCCTGGATTTCACATCTGGGGGTGATTTGTTACCACCTCCAGAGCTTGCTTCAGTGAAATACAAGTGTTCTTAAAGATAGCAGGAGTATTTTTTTTTCCATATAATTATGAAAGACATTTGACTTTTTTATTTTTTGGGGTAATATTTTATCGTTCCTTGTCAGCTGAAAAATCTAGTGGTAATCAAAGCTACTAGCTGGGATAGTCCAAAAGCAAACCCAGTAGATATATAGCAGTAAATTTGTTTTTTTCCTTCCTTACAGTGCTCTGCCAAAACTGGGGCGTTTTTTGGTCCTGGCTGCCTGTGTGTTTGAAAATAGATGGTCAGCTTACCGTGGGTATACTCAGCC